TGTGAAACTGTCTCATTCATATTTATTTCTCAATAAAAAAAAATATATTTTTAAAAATCAATTAATAATCACACTAAATGGTCTGTAATATCACTTATATTCATTTGTGTTTCCTTTCTGTATAACATGTACATTCTCTCTGTTGTATTTTATTAGCAAGTATAAAGACACATTAAAAAAACAGTACTATCAAAAGTGTCATTCCTAACCTAAACCTTAAGGTTCCTTTAATACACTAAGGTATGTCACTTGCCATAACTAACTATATGGTGCTGACACCTACGTCCAGACAATCTGGGCCTAGACAGTTCAACTACCTAACATTTGTACCTGTCATAACTGTTGTCTCTCACACACATGGAAACTTTTTTTTTTTTTAAATGTGTTTAGTACAGGGTCTACAGGGTCTCACTGCACAGATAAGACTCGTAGTGATCCTTCTGTTTTCAGCCTCCCAAGCACTGGGATTACAGGTGTGCACCACCATGACAAGTCTCATTTGCCATCTCAGCACACCCTGGGGGCGGGGCTGGCATGGCACAGCAGGGATCGCACCCCGGTCCTTGCACTCTGCCTAAGCAAGCACTTTAGTCCACTGAGCTATCTGGCAGTCCCTAGAATGGAATTTTTTTTTTTTTTTTTGGAACTGAGGGTCGAACTCAGGCCCTTGCGCTTGCCAGGCAAGCATTTATTCTACTGAGCCATCTCCCTGGCCCCCACATGGAAACTCTTAAACCCATGTTTTTCCCATCCTAACTCCACAATCTGATTTCATTTGCCCTTTTAAATAGAATTATAGCACCCTCTGCCTCTCTTTCATCAGATTTAGAACAATTTATAACTAAATATACATTTCTACAATTATGGTTTAAATGTTTGTCCTTCTGCATTCCCTTGAGAAAATTCTGGAACTTTGCTGGTAATACTGTTTTTCCACAGAAGCAAAATACTGTGATTTTTGTGTAGACCATGTTTTAGCAAGAGAATGAGACAATCCTTCATTAGTGTTATATCAACCTCAGTCTACAATAAAATGAGTCTCATCTGAGAAACAGGAAAAATATTTAAAAATGAAGAAGCAAAGAAAGAGAAGCAAAGTTCAAAAGGAAGGATAAAACAAAGGTACCTTATATTCTTGATCTGGAAGCATGTTGAGTAAGAAAGTTACCATCTTCTGAGGAAATTCATACTTTATTGTCCAAAACAACAGCTCTTCTAGAAAACTTTTATGTTTTAAAACATCCATTATGGATTGATCTGCATAAGAGAAAATTTTATTAGCTACTTATCTCATTTAAACCTCACTATATTTATTAAACCAATACAAATCTTTAAATGTATCTAAAAATTGAGGAAATTCTTTCAATAACACAGTAATGCCAACAAGTTAGGTTTCTAAACTTTGCATGGTAGCTGGGGATGGTGGTGCATGCCTGCAATCCCCACACTCAAGAAGCTGAGACAGCAGGGTTGATGTGAGTTCAAGGCCAGCCTGGGCTATAAAGTGAGTTCAAGACCAGCCTGAATTGCATAGCAAAACCCTATCTCAAAAAGAGAAAAACAATTTTTTTAAAAAAGTCAAATTTCCACAGTAAATGAAAACCTTACATTGTAATATAATGTAGTTACATAAAATTATAACATTTTTAAGCTAAATATAAATATTATGGGGCTGGGGAGATGGCTCAGTAGAATAAGCGCTTCCCTGCCAGGCACAAGGGCCTGAGTTCAATCCACGGTACCACAAAAAAAAATATAAATAAATAAATAAATATTATGAAAGATATAAAAATGTCAAAAGCTGTTTAATTTTTAAATTTCATGGGAAAAGGGCCAAAATATTTATCAGTTTCCATAATTTTCCTTTTCTTTACAATTACCCTTTATAAGTGAGGCTCACTTCACTAGAAACACTCACTCACAAACTCTTAATGCAGTATATTACCTCTAGTAAAAACATACCTGAAAAAATACAAGGAGTCTTAATTATCCTTATAGCATGAGGCTCAAGAAAGCTTGTGCATGCATAAAGCAAAGGGGAAATGATGGCCCTTCTGAATAAATAATCCAAGGGAAAAGCACTACCCATTAAGGACCTATTTCTAACACCAGTATAACTTTTTAAGAGCTAGGATGGTTTGCAAATCTCTGCACCCTTGCCACCGTTCAGACCCAGGGAGTCTAACACATATGTGATGAACTGGATTTGCTCCTGTTCTCTATGTCTCTCGCTGGTGATTTCTCTATTTTTTCCTTGAAAATAACACAAGGTCATCAGGAACATAGCAAGTACCAAAGGTCAATAGCCTGGCTCAGTAACACTGCTTAGGCAGAGGATATCATTAGATTGGTTTGTTTTCTTTTGTTTTGTTTTGCTTTGCTTTGCTTTGTTTTGTTTTTGTGGTACCAGAGATCAAACTTGGGACCTTGTGCTTGCCAGGCAGGTGCTCATGCCGCTGAGCTATCTCTCTGGCCCTAGATAAGAAATTTGAAAACACAGACTTACCCACATCAATGTACCAGTACACTCTACCTGTCACAGCTCAAGGTACCTTGCAGGACTTTTTACTATTAACCCTACCCAAGTCTAGGTTCTTCTATTAGTACACAATGTGTTCACACCACATCACCTCAGATAGAAAAGAGTAAAACAAAATAAGCTTGTCCTCACCTTGATTAACTTATAAAACATAGTTCACTAAGGCTTGACGTGGTTTTTATTAGTATTAACTTTAATCCAGTTTTTTCATCAATCACTAAAAAAGAAAATGGCTCCCCAAAAGTCCTGAAGTCTGATTTTTACTATAGAAAGGTAAAAAATATCTCCTAATTCCTCTGGCACCATCAGTACAAGTACTATGTAACAGAGAATAATGTAAAAATGAAACTATGCTATTCATCACTTTTTATTGGAAAATAGGTACTGTGCTGTAACTTTTTTTCTCTTTATTTATTTATTGGATACAGCATCTCACTACACATTTCATTTTTTTTTTCTCGCTACGCACTTCAAAATCATAGTGATCCTTCTGTATCAGCCTCCACAGCTGGGCCAGCGCGGCATGCATTACTGGGGATCAAACTTGGTTCTTTGTTCTTGCCAGGCAAGGACTTAGTCCGCTGAGCTATCTCCCCAGCCCTGTAACTACTTTCTTTCTTTCTTTTAATTTTTTTTTTTTCCTTCAGTACTGGGGATTGAACTCAGGACCTTGCCAGGAAAACCCTTATTCTGCCGGCCTATCTCCCCAGACCCACGTAACTACTTTCTTAATCCAAGAATTTTTTACTTGTAAATCCCTTCTGCCTGTAACAGATCACTTAAGGGTCGTAACAATGATTTAAAACCAAAACTAGAGACTTTCCCAAGAAGCAGCTGAGTCTTGGTAGGCTGGGCTGAATTGAGACTACAAAATCCTGATGTAGAAAAGGGATTTTAGGAATAGACCCAGAGCGCAGGCCCTGCGCATGAGGTGAGAAGACCTGAGGCCCGCGGATCCTGAATAGACCCAGAGCACAGGCCAGTGTGTGAATGAAACCGCCTGGGGCCCACTGGATCCTCATTTGACCCATAGTGCAGGCCCAGCACGGAACCCTTCAGAACTCCCTGCAAAGAGGCTAGAGACAAGACCCACCCAGCTGATTCAGGAACAGAACATCTTGCCAGTGACTCAAAAGGCTCAAATCTAATGGCTGCAGTAGAAAGAAGTGGAGCACAGCAGCCAGATCCAAGCAACTCCCAGCTGGAGGAATCTGAACTTCATAGATCCGGACCTGGTGCTAAGGTAATAACTCTATCTAAGCTCTACACCAAAGGTCAGAAGACAGTGGTATACAAGATGACAAAGAGAAGGA